AAGCCGAGCTGCACACAGTCGGCTATTAATCGGGAACCAGTACGGCCTCGATTTTGTTGCTAAGCGTTGCACCAACGCCAGTCAAACTTGCCACATCTGCTTTTGTGTTACTAGATAGACCTGGGTGAAATATTGCTCTTTGCTCGGTGGGAGACCTCAACTCAGTCACAGTACGTCGGTCTTGAGAACGCGTTTCGCAAAGAGCAAATATCCATGGCGACGGATTCCGAGGTGCGCGAGGATCAGCCTTCTTCCTGATCTGCATGAGAATACGTACATTGAAACGTAGCAGACGGAACGAGGACCGAGGCTTAACGAGAGCCATTTCCGCGAGTTCCGTGGTCGTCGACGAAACCATGAATCCTGAACATAGCAGTCAACTGGTAACGGATAACAGTGCTTTGTAACAAATGAACAGGAGGCGTGTGAATAAGATGTGAGTGGCGGAATCTAAAGCAGCCGAGCACGATATATAGTTCTGTCAGTGTGCGTGATGCTGCCCGGTTGCCCAAATCGATGTAAGGAGTTGTCTTCGCGGACACCACACTGAGCCTTTGGCTAAATATCCTGTATGTAAAGCAGCGGGGCAACTTACATAGCTGGTCTTCCTCTACCTCGTTTAGTTGCAGTGATACAATATTTTTTCGACCATTTGAAAGGTGATCTCACGCTTGTAAATCGCCGGAGAGTTACTCCGATAGTTCAAGATCTGATCGGTGCGCGTCGCTTTCCAATATAATGTTGTTTCCAGGGGGCCCAGAAACATGTTTTCACTGGCACCTCGAAGCATGGCAACTGGTTATGGTTCTTTTTCTCTTTGGTGAAGTGGATGCTTGAAAAATGTTATTGATCTATCATTATATTATGCTAGCGGCGGTTCACCCGCAATACTTTCGGTGGATGGCTGCTGCGAACATTCCAGTGATAGTAGATCACTCTTGCGCAGGTGATTATCTATGCTCGGTCAGTGCTCCAAAAGTCGCTTAACGCCAATCGAGTCGTCGATTTGGGCCAAAGTGCGTCTTGCCTTTGATAACTGCTGTTGAACGGGACTTGAGAAGTTTACTCTGTCATTATAGCTTATTCTTAGGTCTCAGACAGATTAAGTGTTATGGTTTTGTATCCCCATTTAGAGTTATGCTGCATCTGTTACACTTGACTCGGGACTTGTGCACGACAATTTTAATTCACCGTGCATTTGTGTAGAGCTTAAAAGAATTCAGGTCGGTTTGATTGCTTTACATAATTCACGGCAGATGTCCAGGTATGAATGTTTAGACAATATTCATTTCATCCATATTTGATTTTGTTGAAAATCTCATTGTTATAGACGAGGAATGGAGTGCTTGCCGGCAAACAGTTCATGAGACGCAAGCCACGTGGCCTGTTTACAGATCGACCAACAAAGACAGCTCGTTTACTGGGACTGGTGCTGTGCAATCTATTTTTGCACCCGGTCATACTTGAGGGCTGTAAACTCTTATCTACCTTTTCCAACGCGCACTTTTTCAAACATTACCACATAGCTCGCCCCAGGGCCATCTCAACGGACTCTTGAATCACTGGGTTCCCTGTATCAGTCTAAATAAGACAATGTGAAAACGGGTGTTGCACCATGATATCGTTCCGCGCTTTCTGATCACATGCAAACGAGCGACATTTAACGAGCACGAAAGGGGAAATAAATGCTTCTTCCATTCCCATTCTGACACCATTTACATCATTGATTTCACCTTTCTTGATCCTTGAATGCCGCACGTTTGCATGTTATCAGAAAGCGCGAAATGATATCGTCGTGCAACTCCCGTCTTCTCATTGCAGTAGTTAGATTAACCGACTCTGTTTAAATGAAATTCACCACAGATACACTCATTCATACGATCAACAACATCCAAGTTGGCACTGAGGAGCCGCCTAATCTTTTTAGCGATGCGCATTCTCTCAGCCTAGATGTTGTTGTGATGGGTACTGTTCGAATCATTTAAGCTCTTCTAAACCGTACTGTTCGGGTTACTGGTAATGTTGGGCTGATTATCGTTTTCATTCGAAAGGGCTTTCTGGCACTGTGACAATTGCCAGGTAGTGCACGATAAGCGGTGTTATATCACAGCCGGTTACTAGCTACCGATCTACCTCGCTGTTTCTCGCAAATTCACTTCCCGGCTGTATCACTGTTCATGGCGACAAAATACTCATCGCTGGTGCTTACAGAATAAGCGAGACTGATATCCGGTTCGTTACCAGACACTATTAGTTGTTTTTTTTTCGATCTGTTTATAGGGCATTCTAGCGAGCCCTTCATATTTAGCATTGGTTCCTGGTACCGAGAAGCTACGTACAAAGGAATATTGCATTTATTATACTTCTCTGCTGCTGTTGGACTATAGTGACCTGCACTTGCGCATGTTCCGCATTACACTAGATCTGCCGGACTCCATTTTGTTTTATTGGCTTATTTCTGTTGTTCTCCTGCATTCTCCCTGCTTGTTTTGCTCGGTTAATGTTTCCTTTATTCCAGGTGTTTGCCGGTTGGTCTCTTCTACTTTACCTTTGAGCAAGATCAATCTTACACTAGATCAGACTTCGTACACCTTTTGCTTTGTTTACTCTATTCTGTTGTACTGCTACACATTTGCTGTCCAGTTTGCGTGTTTATTTTCCTTCAAATTCTATGTTTGAGATTCCTGGTTTGGCTGTGCTTCATGTGAATGTTAGCAAGGTTCCTATCTGTTTAGCATCCTCCAGCTCGATTACTGGCTCCAGCAGACTGTTGCTGTTTGATGGGGTGCGCTGTCATCGTGGCCGCGCAATCCTTAAACACTGGTTCCATCCAGCGTGGAGTGGGCTACAGTTCTTCCACCATCTTGGGCACGTTTGGTACGCACGATTCCCAAATTAGCTAGACAGGAATGCTGCTACTGTGCTCCGTTGATGACACGTGTCCCATCCCCATGCCTCTCAGTCTCATTCCTTGAGGTCTGCACTGTCTACGACGCCTTTGGATGGAGATGTGGGTGGTACAGTGCATGAATTCCATAGTCCCTCCGAAGGTGCAGGCAACTTGTAGCTATCCCCATGGAGGCCGCAGTGACAGACAAATCGGGTACCGGATACCGCCAATCTTTCGATGATACACTCATCAAAAGGGAGTTGGTGCAGTCACCCAGCATGAAATGAATATGACACTAACTAGGACGAGGTTGTGGTGAAAACATTTGGACGAATCATCTGTGGGTGAAAAGAAATCTTTTGCAGCAAAACCCATACTTTAGGCGCATCGACCTAGTCGAATGCATAGAAAAGCGTCAATGTAGCCTATTGATACAAATATTATTATTATTATTGCTATCGGGTGGTAGCAACTTTTGTGGCGTCTGCTTTTCGATTTACTACGTTACTCTAATTGAATGTTGGCGGGACAATAGCATCTAAAGAGCGATGATGGGCAGTTTGCTTGGACCATCAGCTACTGCTTTCATGCGCTTATTAGTTATACAAAGTCCGGAGGAATATGACCAGGCGACATCCAGATCGGAGACATGGTTGATCGACACCTGAGTGCTGATGCAACGTTCGCTGAACTATGCCTGCTTTACACCTACGGGACGTAGCAAAACCGTTCTGTCATGAGACATTTATTTGAGCGTAGCACTACCACAAACGCTGCATTTGATTGGTTGGCTCTTTGGCAACGTACGCATTGAGCGCATCCAGATCGTGCTTACCAAGTGGCAGTAAACCTTTGCAATGTTTCTTGCAGGGACGATGCCGCATGTGTGCCGCATCAACCGCTCAGCCGGCACGGTTTAGTAGTCGGATTCGATAGCGGCATTTCTCTACTGTTTCGATTCTTCTTGCTCGTATTGGTAACCTAAAAAGCCCACATTATCGTACAGATGACGGCACCCAGTATATTCCCATATGTAACTAACACTTGCGAGTCAGACCTTTCTGTTCTAAGTGAACTGGTTCCCTTTCGTCCATCCGTGGACCGTTATAAATAATATTCCATTTCTTTTCATCGCGTGTATTGAGTGCTAGACCACATTGAACGCATATTGCTCAGGTCTTGGTGGCACAGCTTTTGTTTGTGGGCATATTTCGCGTGCACTCAGTTACTCATTGGTATCAACAAGGGGCGATAGTGTTTCATCATTCAAAGACCGAGATTTCGACTCCACATAATGGCCACATGCATTCGTACTTATTTGAGATACTATTCGTGTAGATGGTCCCTTACGCTTCGGCACTCGAGTCATACTCGATTAGCCATATTGAACCTGACTGCGATGAGGCTATTAACATATTTACTTTGAGCCTGGGCACTTTATCGGCGCATTTCCCTCTTAGATGCAGTTGAGAGGCTTAGTTCCCACCTATTTTCTTTCATTCTGAACTCACTGTCAGACTGAATCCCGTTGATGGTCCTGATTGTTTTGCTAACATAGGTCCTATAATTTTTGATTTCTGCGCTCCTCCTGCGGACGGCTGTTGTCTGACTGAGCCGCGTTCACCTTTGACATCACTACTGGACTGAACAGGCCCTAATCTCCTTTTTTGTGCTATACATGCTTGCATTGTAGCACGGCTAGCTCGTATTCATTTAATTTAATAAACTGAAGATTGCTACCGGGTCGAAACTACATCATATTGACCAGTTGCCCATCGTTCTCGTAAAAGTTTTTCCCTGAAGCGATCGCGCACATAAGTGGTATTTTTGTGAGTTTCGCGCGTTGTTTCACTGATCTCGCCTATTATTTTCTTTACTTCACTGGCTGACATAACACATAACTATGCGGGTGTATGCGAACTTTCAACTTGCTTTGTGATAATTTGCGGGCTTTTAGCAAGCATTCATTTCGAACATTTTACGCGCTTCAGTGTGTGCGGGTCGGAACTTTTTTTAGCGACCCTGGTGCCATCACGAACTGATCCGTCGTCGCTATCATCTACATGAACTTGTGTGCACTGTCTATGTATACTTCGTTCTAAATTCCTAGGTCATTGGAGCTTTCGTAGCCGGAAATGCAATTGGACTTCTGCATAATGTTCAGTGTTACATGTGGTTAGCTTCACATTTTCGGCGAAATGGGGCCTTTTGGAGCCGTCTGATTCATGAAGATGGCCCTTTTCAGAAAGGGTTTATCCCTCCGTATGTCAATTCAACTGCGAAACGCAAAGCGCATGAGGTTTTCAGCCGCAGCGTCCTCCGAAAGTTGAAAGCGCTAAAGTCATTCGGTCGGTCTCGCTGCAGCACTGTAGATCATCAGGAAACGGATGAACAGGTTGCTTTTACTTCTGCCGCGGCACTTTTTTCAGAATTGTTTTATGTGAGTCCATCTTCGATTCTACGGTTTATTTCTCTGCACTGTTTGCAACATCTGGAGAGATGAGCTTCGTTGCTCTTGGTGTGGCTCTTCTGACCTCCGGCTTGCAAGCTCTTCGCTCCGGATTTTATCCGGCCGCTGCTGCTTAAGTTTCCTCGCTCTGGCTGTACTCAGGTCTCTGTACGACCAACTTCGGTTGATTGACGGTAACACTTACACACAGTAGCGGATGAAAACAACCAATATCTTGATTTCCTACTTGCAGTGGTCATTTTTCTGATTCCATCAGAAACTGTGGATTAACTCGTCTGAAGTTAACTAGCTAAGAGCTGACTCAATCAGCTAATGACAGCACTTATGAAAATTTTTAGAATCCTAGACAATTCGTTTAGGTCGTTTCCTCGGGTATATGTTCCTGTATATTATGGGACACTGTTGAGGATTTTTATCGACGTTATTGTTTTCTACTTCGGAAGCTTGGCTACGCAAGAGTTCACAATAACTGTACCAAGTTATCTGTTTTAGCCCTTGGCAGCATGACAAACCACCAGTTACTGGAACTTGTTTACAGCCACTAGTCGAGCTCCACTGACACGTCATTTATTTAGTCCGAAACACATTCTTCGCTAGACGCGCGTCACTCGCAAATTCAAAACCATTGCTTGGAGCGCCCAACTGGCTTCTGATCCCGATCGTGTTAGGGCAAGTACACCAGCCGTCTTAGTTTGCAGCGTTTGGAGCAGGTTACATCTTAGTGTCTGGTTTATTACTGCGCTCTTATGGTAAGCCTACCACTTCTTCCTCACTTAGTCATCCGTTCCATTAATTGATCATATTCTGTTCATTTTGCCTGTCTTTGACTACTTCTCTGGTAACTCACTTTGCATCGGCTAAATGTAGCAACCCTCGCATCTCGCCTATCGTCCCCGGTGACCTAGTGCTCCATTTTGTTCTCCCGAAGGATGCTGACCTCGTTGCAACTGACATTGTCGCTGGCCTCTTCCTACTACGATGGCAGACAAACCAATGGGTTGGTGGTGGTCATTGCGTCCCAATGAGCCTAATTGAACGCGACACAATCCCCTGTGATGTCCCTCCTCTATTATCGGTACGTTTTCGTTATTCTTACTTGGTTTTATACACTAACTGTTATACTCACCGCTTCACTACAATTGGTCAATCCAAAAGACGAAGTATTCCTCACCAATTTATATTGGCTGCCAAAAACCGGGGAGGAGGGACAAATGGCACAGACTTGTGTTATTCATCATCATCATCATCATCATCATCGCCAACAGAACTACATCAGCCACTTGAACTGCTACTTCGGTGCCGTAGCTTCCCAATGACCTGTGTTATTCATAAGGTCCAATTTCCCTTGCTCGCTTTATTCCTATCACCTGTGGTGTACAAAACTGAGTAGATCTACCAAAAACAAGTTTGCTCTAGCACTGTAATTCAGATAACCTAGATCTTTAAACTTTACCATTATCTGATGTTTTTCGCGCAATTTATTCTGATTTCCTTGATGCCTTTTCGCCCACTCTTCGTGAACGGTTGCAACAACAAAGTCTGTTTTCTTCTTTTTAGTTGTTTGACTGGTAGACTGACAGTATTAGAGATTTTTTTAACCCTCGTGCTGACATTCAGTGTACATGGACTCTTTCCCTCCTCTCATGTTCGCTACAACTTGCCCTCCACTTGTCTTGGGCATTTGTAATTTCAATACCCGTGATGGACGAAGCGGCACATGAAACACCTCGTTCATGCATTTGCACTAATCGGTTGCTCCACAAAATATTTGAAGTTCAGCCGACGATTTTGTACTTTTTACAGCGACTAGCCTCTAGCAGTGAGCATTCGATTTCGATTTCAGTCATTTGCTTCGGGAATTGAACCTTGCATGATGTTGTCATACGAGTTACTTTCTTGTAACGATGCTCATGTCCATCCTGCCTCCTAGCCAGCTGAACTCTTTTGTAGCTCAAGGACAAGCCGCGGTTGAGTGTAACAGATTTGAGCAGGCCTGGTCGCGTTGGCCTAGACAAGAATTACGCACAACCTGAGCACGGACCCTATTCACGCGAATATTCGGGTGACATGCTTAGTCCTTCAAAATGGACACGCACACGACCTGGGAACTTAGATGCGCGAGGCTCAGACGAACGCGGTACACATGAGCACGTGACTACGCGGATCCCAACCACCGAGAGAGGAGGCAAGAGAAGACGAAGCGGGCCTCTGGGAGCTCTTTTATAATCCACAAAGTCTTAATCACATTTGGTACAATGCTTCATTATGTGGGTGAATGAATCAACAGGTAGGGTTGGTGCTTAATGAAAGAACATTGTCCACTTTAGCCTGGTTGCGCCCCGACTCGGAGTGGCTGGATCCCTGCTACGTTGTGTAGAGGAATTGGACTCTGCGCAGCACAGCCCACGCACTGTCGTTTGTGGTGCATTTTTGCGGGGATACTTTATGTGCCCGGAACATTGAGACAGGGGTTATAAGGCATTTTTCGATTTCATGCAGTTGATTCGGTTGGTTCGGTTTAGCTAATCTGTATGCCACAGTGGGATTCAGCCAACTGCTAGCTGCAGCATCTGAAACTTGCAGTTACAGCTTTAGCGGTGTGACCTTTGACTATTAAATTGATAGTTGATGACATTTTACCGGTTCTTACCAGCAGCAGCTCACAAAACGGCTAGTCAAATCACCAATACGAAAAAATCACTTGAACCCTACTGCAGTGAAGCATCATGGACGCAGCATACATGGTTGGCGACATCAGGATTGTGTCGACACATGTAACAACTGTGCCCTCGCAGCGAAGTTTCCAAGTAAAACCATCCAACTCTGGATACCAGCCTCCAAGCCTTGGTCCACTGCAAGGCCAGTATTTTTTATTTGCGGTTGATGCGTACACCAAGTGGCTGGGCGTATATGTGATGAATAGAACCACAACCGGGGTCACAGTACGAACACCATGATGGTTATTTGCACAGTTCGTTTCATCAAACACCTTGGTTTCCGATAGCGGTACACAATTTGCCTCCGATGAATTTATGCTTTCTATTTGCGTAACGGCGTAAATCACGGCCATCCGCCTGCGGTCGAATCCCCATTACAATGCACAAACAGCAAAATTCGTGGAAACTTTTAAATTTTCACTTTCAAAACTACAGGTGGAAGGAATGACGGAGGAGATCATATAACTGTTCCTGATAAGTTATGGGGCTACGCCCATCGCGACCAGACTGCACATGGTGCGCTCGTTTGTGTGCCTCAGTGACCCACTGGGCTATGCTGGGTTGTGCTTTTTTTGCACCTTCAGAGCCACTCATACCTGATTGATCAATGGTTGGAGGCCAGACAAACTCAGCCTCTTGGTCCTCCAGGTTGGGGGTTGGAACGAGGGTGGCTCCTTATTCCTTACAATGGACTCCTTGTAACCCAACGCCAAACCCGCTGCCTTGCGGTCAGGTCTTCGAACCACAGTCTTTGGTTGAGAACCCTAATCGTTCTCCTGTCTAGACCTTGGCAACCTGACAGTATTTTGCCCACGCAATCCTATGAATCTTTCCTCAAACAATTTCCTGATGCTCTGGCCACCGTAGAGGATAATCAACGGTGCCCTATCTGCTGCATCGAGCAGGGTGCATAGGGGTTTGGATGCTACTGCTCAAGCCTTCCCGTCTTCTTATTCCCTCCTCTTCTGCTTTTTCTCTCTTACCGTCCCGTTCCAGCTTCACTTTTATCCCCCTGTTTTCAATCCTCCAATTCTTGGCCCTCCCCCACCTTGCTTCAATAGTCGCTTGTCTTTTAGTTTCAACTCACATGTGAACGCGGAGCGTCATTCCTGCCCTGTCAACAGGCCCATGTCCAAGCAAGCAGTCAATTCCAGTTTCTTCGACTTCCATTTGGAGCCCTCGATCATCTTTCAGATTGGCATACCTCAATTTACGCACAGTGCTACAGATCGGTTAACAGGCAGCACTTGCCCGAACATTAGAGACCCTCTCGATCGATATCTGCTGCTTATCGGAGACCTGCCTCCCTGACTGTGCTCACTTTGCGATCCCTTCACGTGACATCAGCGGCACTTTCTCATTGCGCCTATCCGGTGATGATGCAGCTTCGAGCACCGGCCAAGCCGGTTTTTGTGTTGCCTGGTGTCCTCGGGCTGAAGCTGCTCTGGTTGACTGGATTTAAATCAGTAGCCGGATATGTGCGGTCCGATTGGTTGGCTCGTCCAAAGCTTCGAAGTCGCACGGGACTAACAAGTGTCTATTCCTCATTGCTGTCTATGCACCGACAAACTCTAGCGATGATTCGGTAAAGGACGACTTCTATCGGCAATTGAACGAGCTCCTTCGCTACAGAAGAAGCCCGGAAACTGTAGTGCTGGCTGGGGATCTGAACGTTCAAGTCGGCAAATTAGCCACTGATGAACTGCATCTGGGCGGCCAACATGGCGTAGGCTCCCGTAATGATAACGGTAGGCGGTTACTTCATTTTTATGAAGATGTTCGCTTATTTCTTGCGAGCACAAACTTCTGACACTGCACACGCCGGAGGGTGACTTGGCGCCCACCAGCCTCGAACCAGCTATGGATGCAAATCGATCACATTGCGATAAGTTACCGATGGAGAGGCTGCGTCCAGAACTGTCGCTCGATTTGGAGCACATGTGTGGACACCGGCCATGCACTTGTATGTGCTGACCTGCGGATGCGTTTCGGCGGACGCCCGAAACGACGTTGTGAGCACATTGACACCAGTCAACTGGCGAAACCAGCTGTTCTGAATACCTATCAAAATACGCTGTCATGAGAGTTGAGTAAGCGCTCACTGGATGCAGTTGGAGCTCACTGGTCTCATATTCACTAAACCTTACTAGCAGCAGGAAAATCCTCATGTGGTAAGTCAAATCTACAACATGGACATTGGGTCTTCGCAGTCTCTGGCAGGCATGGCAATTAGCTTTGAACAATTGCAGATGCTGTTGCAGCAACAACAGGTGCAGTTTGAAGCATCCCAAACCAAGCTGATCGAGATGTTAACTCAGAAGATGACAGTGCAGTCAAGCCCAGGGTTAGCGACAAGTGAGGGTGCCCCGTCACCAGAAACCCTGACTCAGCAGATCAGTGAGTTCCATTATGACGCTGATGCTGGCATAACATTTGTTTCGTGGTTCCACAAGTAGGAAGATATGTTCCGGGTTGATTTTGCCAACCTTCCAGCAGAAAGAAGATTCGACTAATGCTGCGGAAGCTGGGTGCTGCCGAACACGAGAAGTTCACCAATTTTATCTTACCCAAAAAGAGTATCGATTTGTCCTTCGACGAAGTGGTTACAGTCGTGTCGCAGATTTTCGGAGAACAGACATCTTTGTTCAACATCCGGTACAAGTGTCTGACAATAACCAAAAAAGAAGACGAAGACTGGGTCGACTATTCCAGCCGTGTGAATCGAGAGTGCGAACGGTCACAACTACACAAGATGACAGGTGATCAGTTTAAATGTCTCATATGCGTCTGTGGCCTACAAGCATCCAAAGGCGCCGACATTCGAACACGAATATTGAACAAAATTGAGTAGAATCCGGATGTCACATTGCAGCAAGTGATCGGTGAGTGCCATCGCATGATGATTTTGAAACACGATACTGCAATGATCCAGCAAACAGAACGAGCAAGATTTTGTCTGTGCAGTCAGCCGTACTCCCCGAAAAGAAGCTTCCCACATGAGTTCAACGCATTCTAAACCTCCCACTGCATGTTGGTTTTGTAGAGAGTGGCATTTTGCCCGCGAATGTCCATTCAAAACTCACACTTACAACCGTTGCGGCAGAAAAGGGCATAAGGAGTCGTGTTGCCTGGCGATTCGTCCAATTTTGGCCAAGAAGATGCGTAACAATGCCAGACCGTTCCGGCGTCCTAATTTGACCAGATCTATCACCGCAACATTCAAGGTTGACTGGGCCAGCAAGCGCAAATACACAATTGTGAAAATCAACGGCTTCCAATTCAAGTTACATATCGACACGGCTTCTGATATCACCCTGATATCTCGAGACACTTGGTGCATGCTGGGGCGACCAACACT